GAGCACAGCCCTACCTGTGTCATGAAAACAGTTTGCACTAGGAGTTAGGAGACCCCTGCATCCCATACGGGCAAGTTACTTACCCAACAACAGAAATAAGTCTGTTTTCTCATCTGTAAAATAAAACCATATGTATTTTCACAAAGTTAATGAATTTCAACTGAAAAAGCTGCTGTGGTAAATAGTAACTGACACAGTACATGCTTAACAAAATCCTGGGTTGTCTAGTTTATATCTATAAATTAATGTTGATTACCTACAAATCAAAGGCCACAGATTCAGAAGCCTGTGTGGTCCAGATGTGTTTAGAACACTCTGCTTAGAACACTGGCCGCTCCCTGTGGCCAATTCTAGAACGTATGGTCCATTTGAAGGACCTACTCAGCTCCAACTGACTTGCCAGTGGAACACGTTCCCAGTGTTACCAGATATTTGAGCTTTCCAAGAGAAGCTGGAAATCTTGATTTTTTAAAAATGCATATAATCTCCTTATTTTAAAAAGTTAGTAATGAATTTAAGATGTTTTAAAGTATTGTATGAAACATCAGAATATGTCTGTTGATGGATTTGGCCTTTGGTCACCAGTCTTTGAACCCTATAGGGACTAACAGGGAAAACCTGAGTTCCCCATGAGCCATGTAGCTATGTTTTCGATTCCAAAACAAACATACCCTGGACATGTGTAAAGTTAAAATAAAACCTTGCAAAACAAACCAAAACAGAATGTAGCCTCCTCCACCTCCCAGGTCACTGTTAACCACTGCAGGTTTATATTGGTCACCTCTAGGTGGTTCCATTTGATCACCTAATTGGGGCTGGAAGGGAACTGAGAAGCCATTAAACTCATCCCACAGGTCCCTGGGTTTGTGTCTTCCCAAATCCTTTGAAACAATGGAGAGCTTCCACACCCGGCTGAATTGGGAGTAGGAGCTAGATCGCCATACTCTTGTCCCATTAACGGGGCTCTAAACTACTCTGAAGCAAGGAGCCTGCTTGATAGGGTACCCTTCACAGGGTGCATTTTAGACTTGCTTGTCCAATAGACAAAGCGCCTATAATTTTTTTGTGCTGACACCACTCATCTGGTCAATTAAAAATCCCCAAAGAATTTTGATCTAAAAATGATAGCTTCTTTAGCAAATTTTATATTCTATTCCTATTAAAAACTTTGAAAGGTAAGTTGGTTAAAATACAAAATTTTGCTAAAATATTGTTTCTCTCCTCCCTGCCTTTACCAAAAATCCCAGCCCAGTGGCTGACTGTCACTAGTTATTTTTATTGTTTTTTTCTGAACAGAAAGAGCGGGCTCTAACTAGATTCCAACTTCTCTAAATCATTCTTTCCAGAAACTTTTTTTTTTTTTTTAATTTTTAGCAAATGGAATGTCTGGAACAAATCCACCTTTATCATTTCTATTGTCCTGTTGAGTGAGAATAAAATATTGTGAGCAATAAAGCATAATTCATTGGAAACTCAAGAGGTGTGAGAGGCGGCTGTGTCGAAATGCACAAAGTCAGCAGGAAGTTTGGAGTGGGAGGAGGGACAGGGAGCAGCAGAGCTGACAACGAAAGCAAACACTGCTGGCACACTTGGTGACAGTACTGAAGAAAATAGGACACTTGAGAGGAGAAATATGGAGACTTAGAGGTGCATTCACTTTCCTTTTTCTCCCTGGATATTGTAGGACAGTGTTTTTTCTTTGTTACCTTTTGTTGTGATGGTCCATGTAGTTGGGGACATGTATGATAATTACTGCATCACATAATTTATTCAATATTTCTCAGCAGGAAATCTCCCAAATAATTTGGCCAATGGATTACAAAGTTTTACACAATTAACAAAGATGGTCTTTTAAGACTGCATTTAAAAAAATGTAAATATAGTACATGTACATAGCAGAACACTTCAAAAAAGTACTGAAGGATACAAAATGAAAAGTCTTTCTCCTCCTTCCTCATTGCAGCCAGCTATACTTCCTGAAGATATCCACTGTTAATGATGATATTTCCATTTTCATGAAAGCCTATGTGCATATGTGTAGCAGGATTCTTGCACAGAGAGTCGTGATACTGAGGATTTTCTTTCCAAGAAGCAACTTTATTTGTGTCAGCTCGGCTCAGTTGGGTTCATACCCGAAGAACTGAGCCTGGAATGCCACGTGGTGTAGTTTTTTATACATTTTCTACTTCTTTGTCTCCCATATATGGTAACCCACAAACATGCAATCTGATTAAGTGGTCTCATGTTACAAGGTTGTGAGGGGTGTTGTCACGTATGCTCATAGCCAGGTTGCCTTGAGGTTTTTTTTTTTTCTTTCTTTCTTTAGGGAGGGGACCTTACCACACATGCATATGTGTATATAACATTTTCTTTTTTGCAAATAGGACCATACTGCATGCATGGTTCTGAAGTTTGCTTTTTCACTTAAGAAAATATTTCCTTACTAGCCCACCTTGCTTTTTACAGTCCCCATTTTTTAGGGATATTCCATGATTTATTTAATCATTCTTGTATTGATGGACATTTAAATTAATTCTTGTCTGGATCTAGTAATAAAAATTGCAGTGAATCATACATTTTGTTCATATATATAAGTATATGTAGAGCATAAACTTCTGTTCATATGTTGAGTGTATAATATTGCCCTCTGCAGTTACATGAGTGTTGGAATATTTATGGACTTAGAGGCCCTCTTTCTTTCTTCATTTTTTTAAAAAAAATTTTAATGGTTATTTATTTTGAGAGAGAGAGAGAGAGAGAGAGAGTGGGGGAGGGGCAGAGAGAGAGGGAGACACAGAATTCAAAGCAGGCTCTCGGAGCTGTCAGCACGCAGCCTGGGACAGGGCTCAAACTCATGAACTGTGAGATCATGACCTGAGCCGAAGTCAGATACTTAACAGACTGAGCCACCCAGGTGCCCCAACGCCCTCTTCTAAAGAAGTAATTCCGGGGCGCCTGGGTGGCTTAGTCAGTTGAGTGTCTGACTTCGGCTCAGGTCATGATCTCACAGCCAGGACCATGAGTTTGAGCCCTGCGTTGCCTCTGTGCTGACAGCTCAGAGCCTGGAGCCTGCTTCAGATTCTATGTATCCCTCACTCTCTGCCCCTCCCCCGCTCATGCTCTGTCTCTATCTCAAAAATGAATAAACATTAAGAAAAAAAAAAAAGTACTTCCAGGGGCAGCTAGGTGGCTGAGTAGGTTAAGTGTCCAACTCTTGATTTTGGCTCAGGTCATGATCTCACAGTTCGTGAGTTCAAGCCCCACATGGGGCTCTGCACTGACACACGGAACCTGCTGAGATTTCTCTCTCTTCTCCTGTGCTTCCCTGGCTTGCTCTCACTCAAAAAATAAATAAATAAACATAAAAAAATATTTTAAAAAAAATAAAGAAGTACTTCTAGTCTCCACTAGGGCAGAAAAGACCAATGCATTCAGTTCTTTGTGAAAAGGCAAAGCACAGCTTTTGGTCTTGTACTTAGGAGACCATACCTAGATGTGCCACCCCAAGACAGACCATGGAAAGTAGTTGGCACTTAAAAAATATTTGCTGAATTAATGAATAAGCAAATCATGGTATGCTGATATACAGTCAGTATGTGCTTCAATGAAATTATGTTTCAAACGTAAAAAGTACTCATCATTCAAACAAACATAAATTTTAACCGGTTTTATTGCATTCTTGTGCTAAAAAGAATTGTTTTGATATTTTGTTCTAAAATAGTTTGAGATAAGAAAAAGAAATGCTCAAAGTTCTAATAGTGGATATGTTGAAATGGCCAGTTAAAATTTCTGTTTCTCCTATTTTCTTTGGATGGTATTTAGCTTATGTTATTTCAACTATATTATTATTAACCATATAGTTATTTCTTATATATGTTTAAATGTGTATTATTTTATGAGTGTCATATTCTGTTTAAAATATTTCTTTTTTATTTTAGATTTGGCAAAGATTTTAGATTTTATTTTAGATTTTATTTTAGATTTATTTTAGATCTGTGAATGGAGGTTCTTTGACATTCCCTCTGGCTCTAATAGGGAAATCCATCAGCATCAAGTTCAATGGAATAATCTGTGCCTTCAACAGTACAGGGGCTTTGTATTTCAGTTTCTTCACTCCCAGATGAGAAAGAATACCTGATTGCCTTGCATACAAGTGAAGGGCAAATATCAATAATTAGACCTTTAGCAAAAAGGAGCTATTCTCTGATAAATGAACAGTTCTATTTCTCTGTATTCCTTACAGCAAAAGTTTTTTTTTTTAAACTAAAGTTTATATCTATAGAGAGGGTTAGTTTTATTGGCAGTAATTCATTACTAGTTTGAAAAGTCATAATTCCAATGGCAATTCTTAAATTTACTTTATAGATTAATTTACACTTAATGAAAATCCTTTTAAATAAATATCACTTTAATCAAATATCATTTATTAAACCTTGACTTCGTGTGAGGATCATGTACTTATGTCTATCTAAAGAAGAGCTACATCTTTTCAGGGCATTACATGATGGCCAATCATAGAAACTAAAATGAAAGAAAATTCTGCAGTTTAATCTCATAAATCCCAATTTACTCAGTCAAATGAAAACCCAAAATTAAAGATTAATCCTTCTGACTGCCAGTTTTCCAAGAAGCCTCCATGGTTTGGGGAGCTATGGTGAATGTTTCCTTGGGACTAAGTTATCCATCAATCAATATGAGATATATTCTACATTTTGTTTAATCTTAAGAGAGATTTACTCTGTGAGATCAGCACAGATTTCTCTCTTTTTTAAAATATACTATTTAACTTGAAATTCGTGCATTGTTAACACATAGAAATCAGACATGGAAAGCCTCTGTCTAAATCTATTCCCAAACTGGTGCAAGGTAGGTGTTCAAAGTAGAGAGAAAATGAGCCCAAGTGGCCAAAAAAAGACAAACGTATAAGGAGTGTGTCTCAATTCCCAGCCCCAAATGTGAGCTGATCCCACACCTGACAACACAAGTTCAACACACTGTACCTTAAAGATGAATTTGCAGGTGAGCTGATATCCTGCTGGGGTACAAAGGAGAGTAAATTTCACAGACCTGCTCCTGACTCCTCAGCTCTGATTTGTGAAGGTCACGGGCACTGGCCTACAATCTCATTGTTACAGCCCTTTATATAGGAGTGGAGGAGTTACAGAAATCCCTGAGACTTTCAAGGTCACTTGAGCCTAATTAGTAGCAGAATCAGACAATATCTTTTTAGGGACATTGCAGCCTTCACTTGTGGTGAGAGATAGCTCTAAATAAATTCCATCTCTTGCTACCTGACCTCCTCAGGGCAGACAAGCTTCTGTTTTGGCTGGTCCCATGAGTGCTATGACTTGGCCTGAACTAAGAGTGATGATTTAGAACATGTACTGGATTATCCATGTACCCTGTTCTTCTGAGACTTATGAAAAGCCATCCTCTGACCCTCGGTGTGCACAAGGGACTGGAATGGTGGGACAAGTCACTTTTGGGTGTAATATTACAGGAAGACTTAGAGAGGCATCTTGTTCTTTGGAGCCATTAATCCTTGAATGGAATCTGGTGATGACATATCACGGTCTGCTTAGTTCTCTAACCAGTTGGAGCAGGAATTGACCTCTGGTGAGTGTTTTCCAATAAAATGCATCCAAGTGAGATCGACTTCTCATTTTAGAGTAGCTCTTATCCCATTATGGAGGAGCACATTTTGTCCTTAGGAAAAACATTTAGAATAGTCACTCATCTGATAACAAAAATAGCTCTGGTTTTCATCAACTCCTTCTACCATGCTACTAATTGAATACTTATTACTTGGTTCAGTGGGTTAGAAATTTATAACTTACATGATGTGTGATAATCTTGACCAATATTGATATTCAAATTTTATCTTGCTGAAGTGGTAATATTTAATGTTGGTCTATGAAAGTCATTTAACAAGCCGGTTTACTTTCAACTGGATGCCTACTTTAATAGCAGAACCAAATTTTAGAGATGAGATTTTTTTTCATTAAGAGTGAGAGGAGTTAATTCTGAAACCATTCTGCAGGGTACCACCTATACAAAACCAACAGTATAAAAGAGAAAACCTCAATACAAAGTATTTCCAAGGAGCACACTGAAATCACAGAAGTGAAGTTTACATATACACCATTCAAGAAAGTACAGTGAAAACTGAATAACTAGCAGAAGACATAGATGACAGTCTTTTTCCCCTTCCTCCCTTCCCCCATGTCTTCCTTCTCCCCTCTTCCTCCCTTCCCTCCCTCCCTCCTTCTTTCTTCCTTCCTTCCTTCCTTCCTTCCTTCCTTCCTTCCTTCCCTCTCACTTTGCCCTCTACCCCTCTCACTCTTCTCTCTAGTCCTTCTCTTTATCACTGATATTCCTAAAGCCCTGACAATCATTTTGGTTACATGAGATTCCTCAGTCTTTATTTAAGCCATTAGCAAGATTCCAAGAGAAAGGTTATCAAAATACTATTTTGTAGTATTATTTCACCTCATTTATGACAATTCTGTAAATTCCTATTCTACTAACATGGAATTTTGCACAATTAATAATTTGTTATATTTTAAAGAATGAGATTTGTGTCCTTCCTATAGGAAGTTCAACTGTGGTTTTAATTTATAAGTATCTGCATGTCCAAATTTTGATCTTACTTTTATATTTTATTTGATTGGGAGGAGAAGGGCATGGAGAGGTTAGGTCTCACAGCTAGAAAGTGGCAGAATTGGAATCTGAATTCGGGCTATCCAACTTTCAAGCTTTTACTCAAATGAAATGTTCACTTACAAGGAAGCATGTCTCTGTCCCAAGCCCCATGTGTTTCCACCATTCATACCCCTATAGTGAAAAAAGGGGAAGAAAGAAGAAAACATAATACAACATGTGCTCAGGTCAGACTCCTACAGGATCCCTCTTCCTGGAAGGTACATCAGGGCCCGGAAAAACTCTTTGGCCAAGGCAGCATCTACATGGGAGCAGAAACAAAGTAGGGGCATCTGGTTAGGGGGAGCCTCTTCAAATACTCACCAGGGAGTCTGTTTTAAGAATTAATGTGGGATGGGGTGCCTGGGTGGCTTGGTTGGTTAAGCATCCTACTCTTGATTTTGCCTGAGGTTATGATCTCATGGCTTGTGAGTTCAAGCCCCGCATTGGGATTCTTTCTCTCCCTCTCTGCCTCTCCCTTGCTCATGCTCTCTTTCTCTCCCAAAATAAATAAAACTTAAAAAAAAAAAAGAAGAATTAGTGTGGGATGTCCCAGCACAGCTCTTGGCACAGACATTCACTCAATAGATTGTTGCCATTATTACTATTATTAATATTATTATTAGCTACAGCCTTCCTTCTTTCTCCTTGTTTTGAAACAGGGAATTCGTGCCATTTCACTTTTTGAACTTTAATGTTTTTGCCTCTCTGGGGTTGCGTCAGAGAACAGAAGGGATGCTCCAAGGTTTACTGAGTGTCACCTGCATTTAGCAGAGGCATGCACACAGACTGGGCTCTGGGGCCTGACAGATTAGATGCAAAGGAAGCAAAAAAGAAAAAGCACAAAAGGAGAAATATTCTGTAGAAGAAAATTACACCCATATTTACTTTAAAACAATCTGCCACCAACTGGGCCACAGCAGCCTTGCCAGTGAGAGAGGACTGATGTAAACTAGAGCCCTGACTCTCTTCTCTTGAGCATACATGTCTGGGAGTTCTTAGTTCCAACCTAGAAGATTCGCAGATGAGCTCTTGGAATGAGTCCCTCTGGGACTAGCTGGGATTGGAGGTGAAGGTGATCATGAAGGAATCAAATGCCAATGAAAGGTAAGGAGAAACCTGTTCATTAACAAGTGTAAAATTGGAAGTCTCTCACCTGATGTTTTATTTCAAACTGCCTGGTTTTTTTTTTTTTTTTCAACGTTTTTATTTATTTTTGGGACAGAGAGAGACAGAGCATGAACAGGGGAGGCGGAGAGAGAGAGGGAGACACAGAATCGGAAACAGGCTCCAGGCTCTGGGCCATCAGCCCAGAGCCTGACGCAGGGCTCGAACTCACGGACCGCGAGATCGTGACCTGGCTGAAGCCGGACGCTTAACCGACTGCGCCATCCAGGCGCCCCATCAAACTGCCTGGTTTAAAATCTTTCATTGCAAGGCACTGATGGCTTAATCTGACCATGGCCTGGGCCTGTGTTTTAGTCAGCCAGTACTTGACCTTCCCCAGCACTTTTCCACCACTACCAGGTATCTAGTCTAAGTTCTATTTCCCTTGTTTTATGATAACCGGTTCCAGTTTAGCTGTCAGATATGTGGGTTAAAATTTGTACCCGGGACTTGTTTTCACCAGGTATGGTAAGGCAGACAAACATGGGAATGAGTTATGAAAGAAGAAGTTGATGGGGCGCCTGGGTAGCTCAGTCAGTTAAAGCGTCTGACTTTGGCTCAGGTCATGATCTCACAGTTTGTGAGTTCAAGACTCATGTCAGACTCTGTACTGACAGCTCAGAGCCTGGAGCCTACTTCAGATTCTGTGTTTCCCTCTCTTTCTTCCCCTTCCCCACTTGTGCTCTCTTTTTCTCCCTCCCTCTCAAAAATATATAAATAAACTTTAAAAGAAAAGATACTCATAGATCTCTAGAATTAGGAGGTATGGCACTTCATGGACCCAGAGCCACATTGGAAAGGACCAGGATCAGTCAGGGGCAGAGAGGCATGAGAGGGGAGAGCGAGGCCTAGAGCCTTTAGTGTTGTTGTTGTTGTTGTTTTGTTTTTTTGTTTTTTTTTAGTGAAGAAACGGGTGAGGTAACGAAGGTATTCTGAATAAGTTTAGGATTGGCTAGTTTGAATAATTTTGGCTAGCTGAAGACTATAAGGGTGGTACCTAGTTGTTGGGTACCTGGCTCTGGGGTGATTTAGGGCAGGGTAAATATTGGCTTGGGATGTGATAGTTTTTTAGAGGAGGCAGTGGGGATGTGGGCTTTGTATTGGCTGATTTGTATATAAAGGGTGTGCTAGAAGGGATTAATTTGCTGTCTCTAGGAATTAGCTAGGAGGCACAATCTCTTCAGGACCAAAGCCCCAAAGGCTAGAGCATCAGGAATATATATTAAAAAAAAAAAAAAAAAAAGAAAGAAAGAAAAAAAAAGAAGAAAATATAGTTAATACAGTTAAGATAACAGCTAGTAGACCCTCCTGTATAACTTCTATATATTCCCTCTTGCTTCTAATGCCGTGCCAGCTAAGCTCAAAGCATGGGGTGTTGGCCCTGCACCCCCACTGACTATGGTCTGGGCATACCTGGTCACTGTGAATGGTCCCAGAAACCTGGCCACTGGAGCTTCTAGATAAGTGGTTACTTGGGCAGAGTCTAACTCTGGAACCCTCCTGTCTTCTCATAAGGGTCTCACCCCTTTACTTCCCATTCTTCCAGCTTTCTCTTGATGGCTGTATTTTTTCAGGCTGAGACCCCCCGAGGCCTCTCCCATTCTTAGCCAGTAAACCCTGTTAAGGGTGTCAGCAAGAGGAAGTTGGGGTGGCAGAGAAGTCTAGGGGGTTTTGTTAAGCCCTTGCCTTTTTTCTGGGCTTGTGACCTTGGGGAACTTTTATATGTGTACATCTATACATTGTTATTTTCTAAAGAGAAGGTCATAACTTTCCTCAAATCCTCAAAGGGTTCATGACTCTAAAAAGTTTGCTGACAACAACAACAATAATAACATCTAACATCTATTGAATATTTCCTATATTCCAAGTGTTATTTTAAACTTTCTAAGTATTAACTCTTTTAATCCTCATTCGATCTTCTGAGAAACAGAGGCTAGATAAATTGCTTGCAGTCACACAGATCACCAGGGATCAGCAACTATAGCCCCTAGGCCAAATTTGGCCCACTGCCTCTTTTTAATTAATTTATTTTTATTGTGGTTAAATACACATAGTGTAAAATTCACCACTGTAAAATGTTCCATTCAGTGACAGTTGGTATATTCACAATGTTGTGCAATCATCACCACTATATAGTTGCAGAACATTTTCATCACCTCTAAAGGAAATCCCATATTCATTAAGCAGTCAGTTCTATCCTCCCTTCCCCAGTCCCTGGCAACCACTAATCCC